ATAACCTCTTTTTCCAGCTGACCTTGAACAAGTTCTCCATCTTGTTGGCCCAAATCTGTCAGTTATAGGGGAGGGACGAGAAGACCTGGAAAAGGCCTTCCTGCACTGACATTCTGAGATCTATGTGTGTCATTGATCTGAGCCTGTTCTCGACTTTGGGGAAGTAGCTGTGAATGCTTGAGGCAAGACCCTTGGTTGTACTGGCATCCCAGGGGTAGAGAGAGACAAAAATCACATCAACAGATAAACCTTTCAGATGACAGCAAGTACAGTGAGGAGACACAGCCAGGCAGGCAGTGCACTGTGCGACTGGGCAGGAGGACACTAGGTGTAGCACGGGGAGTTCTCTCTGAGGAGATGATGCTAGAGATGAAACCCGGACGACAAGATGAGATGATCTTGAAACAGCATGGGGGGCGGTGTTACAGAAATGGGCAGGGCAAGGGGCACATCTTCAGGAACCAAAGGAAGCCAGAAAAGGGAGTTGGGTCAAGAATGGTGCCATAGTCCATGTTAAGACTTTGGTCCTATCACCAGATGTGTCCAGAGTCAGGTCAGAAATCCTACCTGTGTGTCATCCTAATAAATTTCCCTCCAAGCTGACTTTCTGGAAAACCAGATGCCTGGCGATCCTAGGGATTATGCCATTTTAAACCCTGGCGAATTTTAAGCAGGGGAATAACCTTATATTATGTATCCTAGGGATGGGGCCCCAGGGGTTGCAAGCCTTGGGGTGGGGCAAGGTAAGGGGTTCCCCGGGAGTGAGGACTTGGCTTCCAGTGTGGGTGGGTGTCATGAGCCAGCTCTACAAGCGTGCATCAGTACTAGGGGCCTCTCAGGCTCTCTGGGTCCCGCCCCTGGTCCAGGAGAACCAGTTCTTCAGTGAACAACTACCCAGAGTTATGTGTTCATGTTTGGGTCATAACTGGGGAGTGTCCACATCCGTATGCCTAATCCATCCACGGGCCCAGCACCAGGCCGGGCCCCACTCACGTCAGCGCACTGCCCACATTCCCCTCTAGTTCCCTTAGGAACCTACGTCCATATTTGAACTCTGATAGCCACTTGGCTTTTTTGGGGAAAGGCAGTGGATGCTAGTGGCTGTGAGGAGGGAGAGGGGGTTTGGGGAAAGCAGCTATGCTCACCTCATCCCTTTGGACACCTTGATCCCCTTTTCTTTTTTTCTTTTTTGATCCCCTTTTCTATAACCCTCTGCCAGTCTGCTGAGCCTTCTATGTGCCCCTGTTTTCCTCACCTCCATGCAGCATAATCTTATCACTGGACCAGAAAGGTTAACATTGGGCCTCTCACCCAAGGTACCCTAAAATCCTGTATTCCCTGGGGGCCTGGTGGCACCATTTCCCAAATCTCAGAGCCTCAATTACCCACTCCTCCACACTGCTCCTCATCAAGCCTTAGCAACCCCCTGGGGCACAGTCTCCAAGATAAGGGAGTGTCTAGAAAGCAGGAGGCTGGGAGAGTTTAAATGAAATTTGCATATTGAGATGAATATTTGCATATCTGGCCTCTTGGCATCCCCCAGGAATTATTAGGTAGCTAAGCAGAGTCCAGGAGGGCGGGCTTGACCAGCCAGACAGCTCCTGATCTCAGCTCAGGATGGCACTGTGCCCAGGGGAATGAGGCAGCCGGCCAGTCACTGAGAGTTTCATCCCCAGCATCCTCCCTGACCCTACTTCCATTTCCTTAACTCCTCTCCCAGCCTTACATCACTCCCCACACCACTCCATCCCTAGCCAAATCCAGCTCTCCTCTCTTGAATCTTCACCCTAATTCCAAAGCCTTCCTGCTTGATTAATCACTGACCCTGGCTTTTGCATCTGGTGAAATCAGTCAGCCACTAAGGTCTATGGTTTGAGAGCTTCCCAGGTACCAGGATTGTGCCAGGAGCTGGGGAGAAAACAAAACCAAGTTGTGGACAACCTAATTTCTCAGGGAAAGCAGACATCAATCAAAGACATTGGCCAGAGTGCTATGGCAACCATTGATAGTTAAACATGCTATTCTTTGACAAAGCAATTATGATGAGAAGGATGAGGAAGCATTAATGTGGTTCAACAGCAGATATGGAGAAGCATAATCAAAGGCCCTGGGGTGGGAAGGAGCCAACCTCACTTCTTTCAGGATTCAGCGATCCATGTCAGTGGACTCTTCTCTGGCCACTAGATCTAAATTTTTCTCTCTTCTCCTTTTTCTTTTTAAAAATTTAATTAATTGACTTTGTGGTGCTAGGATTGAACCCAGGGGCTTCACACTGACATATGTCCCCAGCCCTTAATTCATTTTTGGAGACAGTCTTGCTAAGTTGCTAAATTGTCCAGAATAGGCTCGTCCTTGTGATCCTCTTGCCTCAGCCTTCCAATGTGCTGGGATTATAGCCCTGTGCCACTGTTTTTTCTTCCCTTTTTTTTTTAGGGGGGATAGTGGTGGTGGTGGGGAACAAACCCAGGGATTCATGCACCCTGGGGAGGTGTTCTACCACTGAGCCACACCCTGGTGCCTCTGTCATCCCTATTTTTCACATTATTCTTCCCTGCCTTATTTTTTCCCTTCAGCATTTATCACCAGTTAACATGCTATATAATTTATTTGGTTGTTAAGTAATACAGTATTTCCCCTCCTAAAATATGAATTTCACTAGTATAGGGGCTTGTTTTGGCTTTACTGTATTCTCCAGGCCAGGGCTCAGTTAGCATCTGCTGCTGAGGGAGTGGAAGGTACATCACACTGTCTCCAGGGCAAGGAAGGGCCTCTGCCAGGCTCGAGGGGCTGGGGCAGGCTTAGGGGTGGAGGGCGTGAGCAGATCTGAATCTTCTATTTTTGTTCCTTTCCAGTATTGGGGACTGAACCAGGGCCTTTGCATAGAGTTTCACCCCTAGGCTTATTCTTATTGTTTGTTTTAAGTCTAGATTTGGCCCAGTTGCTAAATTGCCCAGGCTGGATTAAAACTTGTGATCCTCCCATTTTAGCCTCCCAGAGTGCTGGGATTCAAGAATACACTACCACATCAGGCTTAGATTTAAATCTTGAAAAAGTCATTCAGTCCCTAGTTCCAACTACTTTCCTAGTCCTAAATAAAACCTGAATTGCAACCTCATGCCTATTGTGCGTTCTCTCTCTCTCTCTCTCTCTCTCTCTCTCTCTCTCTCTCTCTCTCTCCTTTTCTTTCAGAATTTTAGCCCCCTTTGGCCTAAAGTTGGCCCAGGTACTATGCAACATTTCTTTAATGGTGACAGGAGGGTGCCATCAGAGAGGAACCCAAGACTGGTGTCTCCTGGTTGGTAGGACCTGCCACTGGAAGACAAAGAATGCAGGTCCAGAAGAGGGGACAGGAACATGACTCCCCCTTTCCGCAGGCCTTGAACACTGTCTACACAGAGCAGAGTTCGTCCCTTCTCTGGGCCTGTTCCTTAGCTTAGATGTGGTGCTTCCTCTCTACCCCAGGGCCTGACCCTGTCCCAACCCTTATCATTCTAGCTGCTGTGATTCCATCAGAAACTAGTCCCCATCCCACTCCTCCTACTCTGAGTTTATTTTCTTCAGAGCACTTAATATCTAAAATTATAGTGAATAAATTATTGTTTACTGCTCCTGTCCTTCTCATCCAGCTATTCAGTAGGATCTGTGTGGGGTTTATTTCTTCTTTGCATCTGAAGTGCCTAGAAGAGTGTTCATTATGCTCAGTAAAAGAGGAAGGAAGGAAGGAAAGAAGGAAAGAAGGAAAGAAGGAAGGAAGGAAGGAAGGAAGGAAAGAAGGAAGGAAAGAAGGAAGAAAGATGGGAGGGAGGGAAGGGAGGCTGAGTTCAGTTCCTGAGAAGCTTATTGGAGCCCAGTCCTCATTCCAGCCCTCTTTCTAGCTTCTTTCTTTTCTTTTTGTCCTGGCAAAGGAATATCTTCAAAAAAATTGTGAGCAGCGTATACTGAAGTGTATCAGGTGCCCTAATAGCACCCAGATCAAGAGCTAGAACCCTTCGAGCTACCTCCGTGGCTCTCCCATTCCAGAGGTGTGAGAAGTGTTCAATTTTGTCTGTTTTGGAGCATGGCATCCATGGAATATGAAAACACGTCCTCTTTAATGTCTAAACATCTTCTTTTGTGCCATACAATTCTTCATGGAATTCATCCATGCTGTAGCTTAATATTTTTGCTACTTTGAGATGGGACCTCACTATGTTGCCCAGGGTGGGTTCAAACTTGTGATCCTCTTGCTTCCATTTTCCAAGTAGCTGGAGTCACAGGCACATGCTGTAGCACGTGGCTCTTTAGCCTAATTTTATTCTTTTGTTGCTGGAAATTGAACTCAAGGCCTCACACATTAGGAATGTGCTCTATCAGGAAGCTATATCACATTCTTTATCTTAATTCTTTTGCCCCAAATTTCACTCCAATTTCTTCTATTCATATATTCAACCCCAGTTCCTCCTCAACTCAACCTGGCCCTGAAGGCAGCGACAGATACCCCATCTCCGACCCCCGGCCATTTCTCCTTGTGGTATCTCTAGGACCCTTCTGCACCCATACAGTCTCCGAGCCGTGGCTTTGGCACCCACCACCCCTGGAATGGGCCTGTTTCCTGGAGCAGGCCTGCTGGACAGCAACTTCATGCTGCTCCCTATCCCCTCCAAAGCAGGTCACCCCTGGCTTGGGCCCTCTCTAAATGGGGGACAGCAAGAGGAAGGAGCTTATTAGACTGATAAAGATCTGGGGGCCCCACCCAGCCCCCTCCCCCAACATCCCCAAGGCCCTGGCTCAGGCTGGACTGGCTCCCCCACCCTGAAGCATCCTTCAACTGTGGCATCTTCTGACCGCCCTCTTAGAGGCAGGCCGGTTGCCCTGCCTGCAGTCTCTCCCCACCGGCTTCCACAGCTCCTGTTCCGAGCAGGGCTAGCCCCGCCCCGCCTGCCGGTCACACCCCTCCCGCCAAGGGCAGCAGCTGCTCTGGCTGCCAGCAGCTCCCACTGCCTCGCCACTCCACCGCGGAGGGTGGCCCGGTCCACTCCTCTCTGCTCCTGGCTTCCCTTGCCTGCCTACGTGACCCCACACGTAGTGCCCGGGATTGGCCCTCTCTTGCCTCCTGAAGAGCAGCCATGGCCACCTACAAAGTCAGGGTGGCCACAGGCACGGATCTCTTGTCAGGAACACTGGACTGCATCTCACTGATCATTGTGGGCACCCAAGGAGAGAGCCACAAGCAGCGGCTGAACCACTTCGGCAGAGACTTTGCCACTGGGGCGGTGAGCGTGCATGTACAGCCCTGGGGGATGGAAGCGTACCGGAGGGAGTCAGGGACAGAGCTGGGCTGGAAAGTCCGGAGGCCCAGGTGTAGCTCTGGAGGCTGTGGGCTCCAGGTCAGTCCTGGGTGCCTCATGCACAGTCAGTCCATCCACATCCTCTCCCACTCTGCCAGTTCATCGGGCTCTGTCTTCATTGTTTTCTTTATCTCTTATCCTTTCCACCAGTTCGCATCCTTCCCCTCCACAATTCCTTTTCTATTGCTTCTACTTGTCCTTTCTCTCAAACCTCTCCCACCGACCTTAAGTTTCCTTCCTTCTTGTCCTTTTCATAGCCTCTGTCCCTCACCCCATATCTCTCTCTCTCTCTCTCTCTCTCTCTCTCTCTCTCTCTCTCTCTCTCTCTTACTCTTCCTAAGCTACATTGCATCAGAACTGGCTTACATTTGCATTCAATTCTGTGTAACTTAAAATGGCACCAGACCAGCCTGTCCAGTGGAGACTTGCTTGTCCCATGGGAGAAGCCACTGTCTGAGTCCTCAGACCTGATTTTGAGTCAGGCCCAGCCATCTGCTGCTATGTGACCTGAATAGGTCCCTCTATCTAACGACCTTTTCTGAGTTTCCATATCTTCATTGAGAAGTGCAAAAAGGGCTGGTTGGACCAGATCTCCCCACTCAGGACTCTAGGAGGCCAAGGAAGCACCAGATCTCCCCACTCAGGACTCTAGGAGGCCAAGGAAGCCTGGACCTCTCTTGAACTCCTTTATAGAGCAGTTTCTGGGGGACTGCATGGTTTCTGCAGCTTTAGCTGATTGGGAAGGAGGGTGGGAGAGGACAAGAACTCAAGAGCTAGGGTAGGGAGGATGGAGGGACCGGGGTCCTGCTCAGCTCTGGACAGGTGGGCCCAGCAGGGGACAGCCGATTTGGAGGAGTCAGAGGGAGCTGGGCAATCAGGTCTGTGTTCCACCTCTCTGCCTCTTCAGTTCCAGAGGTGAGCAGTAGGGCCTGGATGAAGGGCTGGCCTAGCAGCTGTCATAGGAGCTAGCATCAAGTCCTGCTTTCTCAGCCAGCCTGTGTCCTTCCTAGGTGGATGACTACACTGTCCAGTGCCAGCAGGACCTGGGGGAGCTCATTGTCATCCGCCTGTACAAGGAGCGCTCCTCCTTCTTCCCCAAGGACCCCTGGTACTGCAACTACGTGCAGATCTGTGCCCCTAATGGTTGCATTTACCACTTCCCTGCCTACCAGTGGATGGATGGCTACGAGACCTTGGCACTCCGCGAGGCTACAGGTGAGCCCGCCATCCCATCCTATGCGGGGAAGCCTCTCGCTCCATCCCCACATGGCTACCCCATGCTCCAATCAAACTGGCCAGCCACCAGGGACTCTTGGGATATCCTGTCGCCATCATATTACCTTCCATCCTCACTGTTAATCCGGGTTCAGCTTAGGGCTGTACACTGAACCACGGGCTAGGGGCTATCTTTTGCATCTCAGAGTCTGGTAACAATACGCAAGCCCAGATTATGCTTCCCCTTACTGCTCAGTCTTGCCCTGGACTCCTACAGGATGTCTGACCATTCTAAAAAGACCCCAGGCTACTTTCACATGACACCCTGTTTATCATGCTGGAGAGCATGTTCCATGAAGCTCTGACAGAGTTCAATAGCTCTTCAGGCTACCATGGCCTTGTACTTGATCATAATACATAGTCTATGATATTCTTGTCTTGCCCACTCCTTCCTTCCTTCCTTCCTTCCTTCCTTCCTTCCTTCCTTCCTTCCTTCCTTCCTTCTTTCCTCAATCCTGGGAATGGAACACAGGGTCTTGTGCATGCCAGGCAAGTGCTCTACTACTGGCCCATGTGGTAACTTTTGAACAGAACATTTTTTATTTTTATTTATTTATTTATTTATTTATTTATTTATTTGCGTGGCCTGGGATTGAACTTAGGCCCTTGAGCTTGTCAGACAAGGGCTTATTTTACTGAGCTATCTCCCCGGCCCCTAGGACATTTTTTAAACCATGGACCATTGTATCACTCCAGAGGAGTCCTTGTTATAATAGGACATCTTATTTCTGTACCAGGACCCACTGTTATTCCAGCAGGGCCCCTTCTATCCAGTAAGGCCCACCCTGCTCCTGTAGGAGACCCTGTTACTCATGCAAGCCATCAGGATTCTCCTGGCTGTCCAGCAAGGCTGCTTAGCTATTTTTGAGGTTGCATGTTTGCTCCCATGAGAGAGGTACAGAACCTGGCGGGCTGAGCTCCGTGCCGCTGACCCTGCCAGACCCCTCTATCTGGTTTCTTGGGCTGGTTTTCCAAACGTGGCTGCTACATGGGGACTGGAGCCTGTCCTCTGTCACCCCTTGGGCTGCTGCTAGCTTCTCTTGAGGTAGATGGGAGGCGCCCCATCCTCCACTGCCCTCTTCTGCTTCTCATTTCCCTTTCCCTGTGCTATAGTCTTGTCCTGGGAGGAAGAAATGGGGCTTGAGCCAGAGAAAGGAGAGACAGGGACAAATGGAGGCAGGACTGGGGAGAGTGGGGACACGAAGGGGAGAGTCTCACTGGGGACGCAGAGTTTCTTCCCACGGCGATAGGTCTGTGTGGCATAGAAGCAGGTGACACTGGTGGCTGGGCCGGAATGGGGTTGGGTGGGGTGGCTGCCATGCAACACCAGGGCAGGGAGTCTTGAGTCACTGGGCCCTCAAAGGGGTGAAGCTCCCGCCCTGGGGATGGGTATTGCACAACTCCAGGGGGCACCGCTCACCCGGAATGTGACACAAGCTGAAGCAGATGGAGAAGGAAAAGGTGGCAAAGTCAAGGCTCTGAGGGAATGACAGGCACAAGCCACCCTGGGGACCACAGGATGCAAGAGAATCACAGGTCTGGATTCGATTTCCACTCCACCACTTGCCCCCTGGACAGCTGTGGCACATTTCCACATTTTTGTGGGCCTCAGTTCCCCCTGGGAAATGGAACTAACCACAGAACATACTTCACAGGGTTGATGTAAGCATCAGATAATGTAATGTCTAAAAGAAAGTTCAAAGAGGCTGAACAACTGTCACAGTTGTTACTGGGCATGGGGTGACAGGGTCTAGCAGTCTGTCCTGGGCAGCATCCCAGCTTGGCTGCTTTTTTTCCTACATAATCTTAACTATTTTCTCTCTGTATAGTAGGTTTGATAATATAGTCCTTTGGCTGAAATGTTGGGTCCAAAGGTGTTTTAAAATTCAGATTTTTAAGAAGCTATACACAAGTATATGTTCATGTGTGTGTGCCCAATATAAACACTTATAAATTCTATCTATCTATCTATCTATCTATCTATCTATCTATCTATCTATCTATCTAATCTATCTATATAGATTGAACATGCTTGAATCCAAATCTGTTTCAGATTTTTTTAATATTTCCCTATACATGCCATAGCCTGGGGGAAGGTGCCCCCTTCTAAACATGACACTCACATATGTTTCATCTCTGCCTTATACCCATGGCTGAAGGCAATTTTCGACAATATTTTTGGTGCACCTGTATGTTGACTGTGACCCATCACATGAGGTCAGGTGTGGAGTTTTCCACTTGTGGCATCATATAGGGGCTCAGAAAGTTTTCAGATTTTGGAGCATTTCACATTTTGGATGTTCAACCTGTGGTGTGTGTGTGGACATACACACACACACGTATGTGATATATCTACCACGGGGAATCCCTAATCAAATATACTAATATCTTTCATCCAAAACTGACTATACCAAGTGAGTTAAGTAAAGATGATCTTTAGCCTTGTGTTGATTTAGTGCGGGTTCTCCTGAACCAGTGGATTTGTTGTAATTTGGGGTTGTGGACCTGTAATAATCTCACCTGTCTGTTAGATTGTTTGTGTGTGCCTTAAATTATTAACATAAATGCAATGTTAGAAAGTGCCTGGTACCTATGTACAAAGTCCTCTGGAGCTGTCAGGCCTTCATATTCCAGTGGGACCAGCAGAGGGACCACGCCAATAGCAGCAGAGATGGCCTGAGTTGGTCTGTGACCCTTCCAGCTGAGGCTTTGGCGACCTGCCTTTGCTCTCACAGGTCAAGCCTTCCCTGTCCACAATCATGTACTCTAGAACCAACCTGAGGGGCAGACACTGAGCTCCTGCTGTCTGAAGTGGATAGGGATGTGCAGGGAGACAGAGGACAGCCCCTGAACTCCCTCCTGGGTCTCCCTACAGGAAAGACAATAGCAGATGATTCACTTCCCATCCTTCTGCAACACAGACAAGAGGAGATCAGAGCCAAGCAAGACTTCTACCAGTGAGGGGGAGAGCAGCAGGGTGTGGGGGACCTGTGGGGTCATGGGAGGTGGGAGACCAGGAACAGTCTGGGGAGCTATGTCCTGGGATGGTGCCAGGGCATCAGGACCCACTCTCTGGCTTTTCTTTGCAGCTGGAGGGTCTTTGTTCCTGGCCTGCCCAACTATGTGCACATCCCCAGTTACCACCCTCCTGTCCGGCGGTGTCGCAACCCCAACCGACCTGAGTAAGGACCCAAGGTTGAGCTGGGCCCTGCTGACAACTAATACCTGGGGTTTGCCTCTTTCCTGCTCCCTGGAGCCCAGGCACCAGGCCACAATCCTCTGCATCTCCCTACAGGTGGAATGGCTATGTTCCGGGATTTCCAATTCTAATCAATGTCAAGGCCACCAAGTTTCTAAACTTAAATCTTCGTTTCTCCTTCCTCAAAACAGCCTCCTTCTTCTTCCGCCTGGCGCCCATGTGAGTGTGCACGAGTGAGGGGATGGTAGGGGTTCTCTGCCTCCAGGACAGCCCCAGAGGAATTGCCGGGAAGGCAGTGGAAGCTGGGAGACAAGAGCAAGCCTGAGGCTTGATACCCACAGACGTTGGGACATGATGCCCAGACACGTTGGGACTCAGGAGACCCTGAGACCCACAGACCTCACTGGGTGGTGCCCCTTGTTTTAGGATACCTGGCAGCCTCCTTGACCAGGGCCAACTCACATCCCACCTTCTAGGTCGCTGGCACTCAAAGTCCGTGGGCTGCTGGACTGCAAACGCTCGTGGAAGAGACTAAAGGACATTAGGAATGTTTTCCCTGCCACCAAGACTGTCGTTTCTGGTATGGCTTGGGGGATCCCAAATAGAACTGGGAAGAGCAGGTGGTCTCTGGCACAGGAGGCAGTCCCTCCTGTAGAGTCTGTGGCATGTGAGAGAGGATGACCACGTGCACATTCCAGGGTCGCAGGGTACATACACCTCTTGAAAACATTGTTCTGTCTGGGACCCCTCTGACTGCTCAAGGCAGTTGTGGACTTCATTTTCTTCTGGAGTTCTCCTCGTGCTCATGTCTTCTGGTCCATGACTTTCTGTCCCTGAGGGGAGCTTCACTGTGATACATCTGTGTCCCCCTAGAATATGTGGCTGACCACTGGATGGAGGACATCTTCTTTGGGTACCAGTATCTCAATGGCATAAACCCAAATGTGATTCGTCGCTGCAAATGTATCCCAGACAAATTCCCTGTCACAGATGATATGGTGGCCCCATTCCTGGGAGAGGAAACATGCTTGCAAGCAGAGCTGGAGGTGAGGCCCTCTCTGTAAGAACCCATCCAGCCAGCCCAGGCTGCTTCACTGGTTCCTTCTCAGGGATCCCTGTGTTCCCCCCTCAAGGCCTGCCTGCCTCCTACCCTGCCTGCATTCCCCACTTCCCATCCTTGTCCAGCCACTGAGCCTTGAGGTCAGTGCACTCTGCACCCAGGGTATCATGGGTACCCATGTGCCCACTTGCCTGCCCATCATGGCTTCCCTCCAGAAGGGGAACATTTACCTGGCAGACTACCGTATCTTGGAGGGCATCCCCACTGTGGAGCTCAATGGCCAGAAGCAGCACCACTGCGCGCCCATCTGCCTGCTGCACCTTGACCCCCAGGGCAACATGATGCCCATCGCCATCCAGGTGCCTGGGGAGCGTGTGGGCTGCTCTGTGTTCATGTCACTGGTGCTGAGACCCTGTGTGCATGAGTTTTCTTGTATGCGTGTGCACTTGTGTGTGTGTGAGCCTTGTGTGCACACTTATGTGCTCTTAAGAGTGGGCCACTGTATAGGCATGTGGGTCTGTACGTGTGCCATCTGTATGTGTCCCTGCATACAGTACACCTGTGTTTGTGCACATCCCAGTCTGTGTGGCCATGGTGAGCCTGGCATGCGGCCCTGTGTGTAAGTTTGGGATGAGAACCTATGCATTCCTATATCCACACATCTGTGTATTACCACTTGTGCCCATATGTCCACATGAACTTGGTCCCTGTGGTGACATTGTGTTTCCCCTAGTCAGGAAACACCTGTGTATAGACTGTGTGTGCTGATTGTGCACAGCGGAGCTCAGTGGGTGGAGCTTATCACTTTGACCTTGTCCATCTGTCCTTGAGAAAACAGCTGCTGGCAGGCTCTGCTGGGATTGCTGAGCCAAGGGGACTTGGCTGTTGCTTTGGCTGTCTGGTGTGACTGGCAGGAGGGGGAACTGAGCTGTTTCTTTCTCAGAGCTCTCCACAAGGGCAGGCACAAATTAGAAAAAGGCACCCAAGTCCTCATTTTTCTGGCTCATGGGATAGAAGGTAGGCCACACAAGGGGAGGGGCTTGGTGTATAATTTGTACACCTGAGAATGGTGGCCATAGCGTTGAGGTAATGAAAGCTTCTCATGAGAAGCAGCACTTCTTAAAGAATGAGTGGGAATTGCCAGGTAGAGACAAGAGCAGGGTGGGGACAATTCAAGCAGAAAGCACAACAGGAGCAACAGTCAGCAGGGGGAGAGGAGCCTGATATGGAGGGACTGTAGTGTAGAGGGTATGCCTCCTTCCTGCAATGGGAGCTTGTGAGTGAGTGTGTGTGTGTGTGTGTGTGTGTGTGTGTGTGTGTGTGGTGTCTCTGCTCTCACTAACCCTCCCTCTTTTCCCACCCTCAGCTCAGCCAGACCCCTGGACCTGACTGCCCCATCTTCCTGCCCAGTGACTCTGAGTGGGACTGGCTACAGGCCAAGACGTGGGTACGCTATGCTGAGTTCTACTGCCATGAGGCCATCGCCCATCTGCTGGAGACCCACCTCATCGGCGAAGCCTTCTGCCTGGCCATGCTGAGGAACCTGCCCATGTGCCACCCTCTGTACAAGGTACGATGGGCTTGGAGCCTCAGGCCTGCTTGGTGGTCGGAGGGAGTCCTGTGAGGCATCTGGGCACCCACCAGGGTGGGTCTGGTGTTGCAGAAGTGGTGATGCCGAGGTCCTCTAGGGGGCAGCCTTGGCTGTCTTTCATTATCCTTCTTGCTTTCCTGCCCAGCTCCTCATTCCCCACACCCGCTTCACTGTCCAGATCAACAGCATTGGGCGGGCCCTTCTCCTTAACGAGGGAGGGCTTTCTGCCAGGGTAAGTATCCTGCACCTAGTCCAAACAGGACCCCTACTCTTCTCTGGCCTGTGAAGTTAGACTTTATATTTGCCTTTGGATCCTGGGGTGACAGGGAGGGAGGTGACAAGTTAAAGTGGACACTGTGTATCAGGGTACAAAGGCAAGATCTGGGTGTTCTGGCCTGAACCTCAAGAGCTTCAGGGTCTAGGAGCATGAATGGGGGCTAGGGATGCCCCCACAGTATCTCTGGCCTCTGGGGAGCAGTCCTGGGGGTGCCCTTCTAGCTCCAGGATCTGCATTTCCCTCACAGGCCATGAGCCTGGGTCTGCCAGGCTTTGCGGAGGTGATGGTGCGGGCTCTCTCTGAGCTCACCTACGACAGCCTCTGTGTCCCCAATGACTTTGTGGAGCGTGGGGTCCAGGACGTGCCTGGGTACTATTTTCGCGATGACAGCTTGAGAGTGTGGGACGCGATGGAGAGGTGAGATCGGGACAGCAGTGGGTGACACATGGGCTGGACACCCTGGGATGTTGGGGAATGTGGGAGATTTGAGGACCTGAGCCTTGTCTCATCTGAGGCTGAGCCTTGGAGATAGATGCCTGTTCCCTAGGCCTGAAGGCTCTTTCCTTGCTTTAGCCCCCAGCCCTCCTCTGCTGGCCAGACCTCTTCTGCTTCTGAGCTGCCTGGGAGCCTCCTCTTGTTCTTATTGACAATCTCTCTGACCTTCACCTCTGCTACACAGAACTTTGTTTCTCACAGGCTTGGGGCACCTCTGGGGCCAGGGAAGGCTAGGGCAACCTCGGGGAGGAGGGAGAAGCACAGTTATGGAGGTGGAGGGGAGGCTCCAAACTGAGGCCCTGTCCCCCGGTCAGGTATGTGACGGAGATCATCACCTATTATTACCCGAGTGACGCAGCTGTGGAGGGTGACCCGGAATTGCAGTGCTGGGTGCAGGAAATATTCAAGGAGTGTTTGCTAGGGCGGCAGAGTTCAGGTATGGGTGCAAGAGCTCAGTGGGGGCCTGGGGCTGAGGGGCAGTTCCCAGCTGGGTCTACTAGGGTCCTCCTGGTCTAGGCAGAGATCATCTCCTTGTGGGCTGAAGGAGGCCAAAGCACAGCCCTAGCATCTCCTCAGGCCTCTACCCTGGCCGCTGGAGCAGTGGTATCTCAGATGGGCAGGGGGAGGAAACATGACCGACCATGGGAGTCTGAGCTTCAGCAATCAAAGGCATCTCTGCAGAGCCCTACAGAGCCCCTCATCCTAGAAACAAGCCTTTGCAGACTGAGAAATGGAGTATGCATTCCATTGGGAAAGGACAGAGTGTTCTGGGGGCTGGAGAAGGTGGCAGCCAGGAGAGGGATAGGTGTCCAGAGGTCACACCACTTGAGCACATACTCTGAAAGCATTTAGTGAGCAGCTATGATATGATCCTACGCTGGTTATTGAAGGGATAGAAGGGAACAAGACTAGTGAAGGTGTCTACCCTCAGGGCATTCACAGCCTGGACTGGGGCAGGGGGTTGTTTCACTCAGTGGTGGTGAGAAGTTCTGCTAAAATGGGTCTGGGACAGTTTAGAGGAGGCCTACAGAGGGTGATGGAAGAGTCTAGGGAAGACACTTAGCCAGCTGGGGTCGGGGTGGTGGAGAGAATGGGAGCAGGGAACAACAAGCTTAAGTCATCTAACACCTAGCTAAGATATGCCAAACGAGCAGGATAGCTGTGAGATGATGGAGTGAGTAGGCAGAGGTGAGGTTGTGATGGGAGTTGTGTGTGGAAAGGTCCAAAGGCCAGAGACAACTTAATGAATTCTGCTGACCTGTGTCCAATTCTCTGAAACCGAATCTATGGGGTAGAGGTAGGCAGGCTCCCAGAGGGCTGTGGCTGAACCCATGACAGAACAGGGACCCATCAAGGGGTTTGCAGGGTATCAGACTTAAATGTTAGACTGTCAAGCTGCATTGGTGGTCAGGAACAGTTGGGGAATACCAGGAGGGAGGTGGCAGGAACCTGACCAGGATGAGGGCTATGAGATAAAAAGAATTCCAGAGCTATTTGGGAGATAGAAATAACAGGATTTGGTAATTGGCTTGGGTTGGAGGATGGGGACAAGGATGACTCTCAGAATTGGGGCTTTTGCTACTCGGATGGTGTATATTCCCCCTTAAGCTGGGGACCCAGAAAGGAGGGAAAGGAAGAGGGATTTGGAAGGGTACTAGTGAGCCTAGGTTAAATGTGTGGAGTTTTTCTTATTCATGGTCACCATGGCAAGCTGGGCTGGTCACTCCTCTGGGATGACAGGAAATCCAAGAACGTTTGATCTGAAAGGGGTGTGAGGGTTAGGAACAGGCTACCGGGCAACTTTTCCAGAATGCGCAATGTGTGTGTTGTGGGGGAAGATGTGCTAGCCAGTACAGGAAAGTCAGAACTCTTCCAAAAGGATGGAAGCCTCCCCCCTCCCCACTGCTCCCCACTCTATAGGTCTGGGGCCAGGGATGTAGCCTAGGTGGGCCGGAAGAGAAATCTGAGAGTCTCACTTCAGGCAGGTGCCAAAAGCACCTGTCTGCGAGGACACCTAGCCAGCCTCTGCCAGCCTCTGCCCTCACCTTGTGATCTGGACTGGGGCAGATGGGGCTGTGGCTGTGGAAGGCATAGCAGGTAGGATGAGGGTACAGATGTTACTGCTTGGAGCCTTAGGGCACCGTCAAGCTTTGGTGAGCCCGCTGGGAGGCGCCCTCTGCCAAGCAGCCAGGATTGAGGCAGGAATGATACTATCTGGTTGGTTTCTGTCTTCAGGGTTCCCCACATGTTTACGGACAGTACCTGAGCTGATCCGATATGTCACCGTCATCATGTACACCTGCTCTGCCAGGCACGCAGGTGTCAACTCCGGCCAGGTATCCAGCCCCCCTATATTTTGCCCCATCTCAAAGCCAGTTTCAGTCACCATCCCGAGTCCCTCCTCAACCAATTTTGAGCCAAGTCCCTGCCTTTTAACTCAGATCCACCCCCTAGTCCAGCAACAGCACCACCGACCTAAGCCAGCCCAGCACAGGCTCAGCCTCCTGGGACAGGAGTTCTGGGTCACAGAGAGTGGTCAGAGCCTGGTGGACCATAACTCCCGGAGTGCTCTCTGACCAGAGCCCCACCTCTACCCCTCCTCCAGCTGGAGTTCACCTCCTGGATGCCCAACTTCCCTCCCTCCATGCGGAGACCGCCGTTGGAGGCTAAGGGGCTGAGCACTCAGCAGACCTTTCTGGATACGCTGCCGGACGTGAAGACTACGTGCATTGTGCTTTTGGTACTCTGGACTCTCAGCCGAGAGCCCGACGACAAGGTATGGGGCCAAGCAGGAAACACTGAGTGGGGGTAGGGGGTGGAGGTAGGAGGCTGGGAGATGGGGGAGGCAATGGCAGGGCATTGAAGGCTGCTGAAAAGAAGGCCCTGGAAGGTGGTCATGGGCCTGGCTTAGAACCAGCGCCCTGTTTGGTACCTGCAGCGGCCCCTTGGCCACTTCCCTGACATTCACTTCGTGGAGGATGCACCACGCAGGAGCATGGAGGCTTTCCGCCACCGACTGAACCAGATCTCGCATGACATCCGCCAGCGCAATAAGTGCCTCCCTCTTCCATATAACTATCTGGACCCTGTACTGATCGAGAATAGCATTTCCATCTAGGATGGCTCACTTGCTTCGCCTCTCGCTCTGCCCCCTTTTCTTTTCCAATAAAATCGCGTCAAATACTTACCCTGAGTCTGGGAGGGCACAGCACTCTGTGTGCGCATGCGCATGCACACATGTGCCAGTTGTAGACTAAGGCTTACTGTGACGATGTTATTTTCCACTTTAGTAGGGTCCAACTAGGTGTAGAGCAATAAGCAGGCCTTGGTTGCATTCCCAGATGCTCCCGGAGATCTGGGCCAGGTGCTCTGGAACTCAGCAGTGTGGCGCCTTGGGGCCTCCTTGGCAAAGAGCTCATTTGGGTAGGTACCAGCCAATGCTGGGGACAATGAGAGGGGTGTTAACCTGGCACCTTGAACCCATATTTTAACCCACGATGATTGTGGTCTATCTGAAGCCCTCCTTATCAGGAGACAGTTTACTCAAGCTCTGCCCACCCAGCAGAGCCAAACTCTCTCAAGACCCTTCAACTTGAACTATAAACTACTCACCCATCTAGGCAAAAGACCTCCCACCTACAGAAAACCTAAGCCACCTCAAGCCATGAGCATTTTGAAACCCAGACCACTGTAAGGGCCTTCTGTTAGGAATCCACACTACCCTAAACCACACCCACCCTAGCCCACCTAGGAGCCAGCCTGCTTGGTGAACCCTCTCTTCCATTCCTCTTCACTTCCCTGGAAGCTGAGACCCTTCTCATCCCCACCCTGTTTGTTGCTTGCAGTGTCTTTGGTTTCATTGTTAGTGCCCCAGAAGAGCACAAGATCATGGCAGGTGACACTGACCTTGGAGAGTGCAGCCATCAGGTCTGTCTGGCCATTAGCAGTGGGTAGAAAAAATGGTTGTAGAAATATTGGGCATCCAGGAACTGAATTCATACTGACCCCACCAAATCCGTTAACACAGAGCTCTTGCTAGGCCCTCTTCTCCTGTTACCTTGTTTATCCCTCTAGGTCTGCCACTTGCTTTCATGGCCACTGTAGATGGCAGAAGGTTGGGCTGAGGAGGTGAAGACAATCATGGTGAGATACTAGGTGAGGCCAACACAGCTGTTGAGGGAAGAGGGAGTGGGGCAGAGGGAGCAGAGGTGGGATCCAAGAGTCTGCTGCCCTGGGGAAGTGGGGTCTGGAGGACAGGAGGACAGGATGGATCCCTTACCTGAGCTCATGCTGCCTAGAAACTCCTCTTGAAGGATTTCTTTTAGCCAGGCCTGGAGATCCATAGATGTCAACAATATTGGTTACAAAGCTGAGGATCCAGGAGTACAAGTAAGGCATCCCAATAACCCAATGCTGACCAAAGGTAATATGTTGTAATGAAGGAGACAATGAGATCAGCTTCCCCTCACCCCAAAAGAAACTGAGGCTGAGGAAGGAAAAGGCCAAGCACACAGTGTGAACTGCAAGCTGAGTTTCAAAACAGGAAGCTGTGATTTCACTCAGGTTGAGGACCACAGCTGGTCTGCAGATGGGTCCTGAATAGCTCACAAGTTGTTTTGTGTTTATTTTTGAAGTTGAAGCACTTGCCAGAATTGATAGATAGATTGAAGTTATTTGAGATAAAGTCTTGCCTCAGCCTCCTACATGTAAGGATCACAGGCATGCATCACCACACCCAGCTACTAGCCTGCATTTAAATATTAGATGTTTGGTCTCTCTTGAAAAACATGAAAATCTGGCAACAGTCATGGCTGGGTCCCCGTCGTCATCTCCATCAAACATGAGTTCACCACTGGTCAGCGTCCCTGCTCACCTGCCTTTCCTACCTTTTATCTGCTTCCTGGTCCTGTGGGCATTGACTTCCCTACACCGGGAGCCAGATCTAGCCACAGGAAGGATTAGATACCAGGCCTGTCTAGTTGGGTACATTTCCTCCACTGGTTCCCAAAGAGCCATCCATCTCTGGCCAGGGAAGGGCATGCCTAGACACCATTAAGCAGGATGTTGGCACTGGGAGCTGCAGCTAGGTGTATCTCACAGGAACAATTCTGGGGGACTTCAAAGGGAGGCAGGGTGTGAGCAGAGCCTGAAGCAGGAAGTGCTAGTTAGGGAGAGGAAAAAGTGGTCTTTCACCTCTCAGTATGGGTGAAAGAATGGAAAGGGAGGGCACCTTCTGAGGCCCCCTTCCCCCCTCTTTTTAAAAAAAACTTATGTATTTTGTGTGTGTAGGGGGCCAGTTCAGCCCACGGGGGGGGTGCTGGCTGGCATGTGGTGCTGGGGATTGAACTGTGGTCCCTGTGCTTTTGCTTAGCTTAGCTTGTTCTAAGTAGGTGCTTTAGACCACTGAGCTGTCTTACCAGCCCCCAGAACTTTTCTTGTATGCTGAGTTTTGTCCTTAGGCTTTGCCATTTGACTGTAATAACCATCTGAGGCAAGTGTTCTTATTATTCCCAGTTGAAGAGAAGAGGTAGGAAAGATGAAGAGATAGTCAGATGAAGAGATAGGCAAGGAAAGTTTAAGAGACCTGCTCGAGGTCACACTGCTGGGAAGAAGAAAGTAGAGCTAGAAGACACAGAGACCACAGGTTTTTGGGCAAGAGGTGGGGGAAAGTAGCAAATCTCAGAGTTATTGTGGATGGTGAGAGGCTCAGAGCCCTCAGGTACCAGGGAGGGTTCACGCCTCAGTGGCTGCCCAGATATTGGGTGCATCATCTTGGTACTAGTAGCTGGGGAGGTCCTGGATCTCATGGCCAGCCAGCTAGTGGGGTAGGCATAGGGAGTGGTAGGTGACAGCTGCCAGCCCTCTGTCCATCAGTTCCAGGGAGGCTTCTCATCCTTGGGACAGTAACTGTAATAAGCAGAAAGCCCATTGCGGTAGGCTGGGGAGATAGTGGCCTGGAGCAAACCTCATCCTCCTCATGCTTCTCTGCCAAACATAGGGACCCAGGCCTGCAGGCCCTGACCCTATTGATAAGTTTTCGTGAATTTGGTGTAAGCCTGGATGTTGACATGGACGGTATAGTGGAAATGAGGAATGTGCAGCCTTCAAGGGCCAGAGCCAGGGGTGAGGAGAGGTGGCCCAGGTCTCCCGTAGCTCCAGGCACAGAGATGAGGCCTCCTCCCTACCCTGAAGATGGGGTGGCACATAGGCAGTGACAGAGCAAAGGCCTCTGGCATGAAGTGGGTACAAAGAAGATGCATGAACACTTCATGTACCAGGAACTCTGAGTGTCGCACCAGCTCTTGGCCAGGAGCCAGTCCTCAGCTGGGCCACTGGGTAGGAAGATGGGACTATCTGGGCTAGGTGTTTGAATGAGCTGGAGTGAGGGGACAAGGGAGGGCAGGTGTCAGGGAGGAAACTGGAACGTGGAGCCCAGCACTATGGCCATAGACCCAAACCACATGGTCTGTTCTCTGTGCACCCTTAACTAACCTCTCTGTAATTCACATTTGGGGCCCTGGGGACTGGTGGGGATAGTAAGGTGGTACCTTCCCAACGCTGCATTCCTAGTGCAGGCATGACATATCTAAAGCTCTCCAGCCTCTACCTATTTGGGCTTTTTCTACTCTTTCTGTTTTGTCCTGCTTGATTTCCATGTTGGTACAAAGGTTGTGATTGCCCAAGAACAAACTGTATCCTTGCCTCGGTGTCAAAACTGACTCAAGGGGTGGCCAGTTAGCTCAGTGGACTAAAGCTCCTGCTTAGGTAGAGCACAGTGGCCAGCCGGGGTTTGATCCCTGGCATGCCATGCCAGCCCCATCCCTGGGGCACGCTGAGACGGCGATTGAGACTTGGTGTAGTGGTGCACACCTGTATTCCCAGCACTTGGGAAACTGAAAACAGGAGAATCACTACGAGTCCAGTCTATGTAGTAAGATCCTGTAGACCCTACAGACCCTGTCCTAAATGCATTTAAAAAAAAACAAAACTGACTCAAAACTCAGACCTTTGACAGTTTAATCATGTCTCCAGCAGTTCAAAACATAACCCTTCCCTGGAGGTGTTTCTGCATCACCTCATCTTTCTGGTTTCTGCTTCCCACAACAGGGAATCTGTGTGACTTTGGGCTACACAATGGAGGTGGCCTTGAGCCACTCATTTTCCCTCCTCCCCCCAGTGTCAAGGATGGAACCCGGGATCTTGCTCTTGCCAGGCAGGCACTTATACCACTGAGCTATCTCCTTGGCCAAGCCACTCACTTCTGAAAGAGATTATTATTATCAACTTTGTTTTGCAGGGAAGGAACCTGAGTCATTGTTCCCTGCCCTGTGAGTGTCACATTTGTGGATCTTCCTGCCACATACCTCCCGGCCCACAGGGCCACCATGCAATGGTCTTGGACCCTTGAGCTCCCTTTACCACAGATTATGGTTCCCAGCACTGAGGCAGTTCCAGGTAGCTTTGGCGAGGGTGAGGGAGTCACTCAAAAGCTGCCAGTAGTTCACTTGAAGGAATCTCGTTCTCTGGAGCAAGTCATCTGGCCTCTGGATTCCATCCCAGAGCTGTCTTCTAGTTCCAAAGAGACTTTCTACCCAAGTATGGGGAAGGCCAGGCCCGGCATCAATGCCAGGGAGCGAGGGAAGAGAGCCCCGTTTGGGGTCAGCCCAGGAGGCAGAGGCATCATCGTCTCATCCCAGTGGTCCAGACTGGGGAGAGCTGGCAGCTTTGGGGAGCGCACACCAAACTGGCAGAGGAGCATCATCAATAATCATGGCAGTGAGTTCATCACCATGGTTCTGAGCACTGGGCCTCTGCCAGTGCACCAAGCTGAGCAAGGAGCAGAGAGGGCATCCTCACTCAGCCCTGCCACCTGCGCTTTCAAAACTCCCAGGACCACACCCTTCTTTGAGTGCTGAGCAGGTGTGACTGGTCTAGAGGAATGGCTGGAGAGGCTGAGAGTGTGTGTGGGGGTGTCTTGAGGGGAGCAGGAAAGGATAAAGGGCGGCCAAGGTGGGGTAGAAAAGTCAAAGACTGGGGCATTAGGAGCTTGGACATGTGGGCTCCTGAGGGTGCCAGAAGGCAGGGAAGGGAGATTAGATCCTTGTTTCTTTCACCTCCAGCTCAGCCTGAAGACTTGGACCAGGAAGAGTGTGTA